TTAAATGTTAGTATATTTCTTGTAACTTTAAAATTTTGAGGGTGTCTTTTGTAATTATTAAAACTATAGATTAATTTTGAAAAATATTAAATTTCAGCGGTCTACCAATCGACGAATTTGATGTGTGCTAGTTAAAAATTTTGAAAATTTAGAGTTTTTTTTACGATTTTTAAATTTTGAAGGAGTTTTTTAAAAATTTTGAGGTTAATTTTGGCAAATTTTAATTTTTTAGGTGTCTAAGGGTAATATCTTGAATTCATCTTATTTTATTTACAAATTTTAGAATTTTAGGGTGGCTTTTTATAATTTGAACTTTTGAAGGTGTTTCTATAATTTTTGAGATATTGAGGGTGTTAATTAAAAAATTTAAATTTAAATGTCAAAAATTTTAGGTGTATCATGGTAATCTCTTGAATTCATCTGTGTTGTTTGTAAGTTTTAAAATTTTAGAATTTTAATGTGCTTGTCTGTAATTTAAACTTTTGAGGGTGTTTCTATAATTTTTGAGACATTGAGGTGTTAATTGTAAATTTTAAATTCTTTGCAAACTGATGTTAATTTTTTAATTTCATGTTTTTTATTTTAAGTTTTGAGACATTTGGATGAGTTTTATAATTTTGAACTTTTCAGGGTTTTTTCTGCAATTTTAAAACTTTTTATGATTTTTTTGCAATACTTCATGTATTATAATATGTTATCTACTTGTAATTTCTTTATCTTAACAAACTAATATCATTTTTATGTTTTATATATTTTATTAATATTAGTTTTTTTAAATTGTTAAGCTAAACATGGTTCACATAGGATTAGGATAAGATATGATTATGATTAGGATAGATTAAGATATAAATAAAATATTCAAAATAGTGAAGAGTAATATTGACCATTGAAAATTAGAATTTGATTATAGATAAGGTAGTTCAAACTATAAAGGGGTATATTTGTCTAAAAAAGATTTTCCGAACTTGTACTTTTAAAGGGAGTATGATAAGAGATGATAATTTCTTTTGAGACTTTGTAAACATGAAGTTAAACAGTCATTTTCCTTTCCTGTTGTGCTTTGTTTTTGCAGAGAATGCAAGATTCTAATGATAAGTGTTTGGAAAATAATGAATATCAAGATACTATAATGCCCGTAATTTCAGCAAAAACACAAAAAAAATTAGAAAATACCCCAATTAGGGTTAGGGTTTTGGGGAAGAGGACTTACAAGTGAGGCGAAGAGGAGAGGCGGCGAGATCCGATTTGGGGAGGAAGAATTAGGGTTAGGGTTTTAAAGAGAGAAAGGAGGCGGCGGAATTATGGGTTTTGAGGGGGAGGCAACAAACTTATGCAGTGGCGAGCTCCGACGATGATAGTGAGCTCCGACGACGGTGGCAAGCTCCGACGATGATAGTGAGCTCCGACGACGGTGGCAAGCTCCGATAGCAATGTAGAGCTCTGATTTGTGGTTTGGGATGAGGCGGGGGAATTTAAGGGTTTGAGGGGGGCTTTATGGCTAAGGTTTTAAGAGGAATGGCAAACTGACGGCTAAGCTCCGATTTGTAGGAGGGCGGGGGGGGGGGGGTAAGACGGGATTTGGATTGTGTTGGGGTTTTTGAAGAGGGAGGGAGAGAGAGAGAACAGGGCGTTGGGGTGTACATTGGTTTTTTTTTGTTAAAATAATTGCAGGGGGATTCTGTTGGGAAGAAATATTTGGAGGTGATGGAGAAAGTGTTTAAGAATTCGGGAGACAATAGAAAATTTAGGAAGAAGAAGATTTTTATTTCTTTTGAACACCTTAGAACAACTTGGAACTTCTTGATTACAAATGAGAGGGAAGGGGAGGTATTTATAGCCTCCAAAGTACAAAATATCTAGAATATTTTAATCCTAAATATAGAGAGTTCTAGCATAATATCTAGAATTTTATATTACAATTATCTAGAGAAATATCTAGATATTTATTCTCTATAATTTTCTAGAATATTTTAAGGAGGTGGAGATGTTTAGATATTTCTAGAGAAAACTCTAGAACTTGAATCAAGTATTGGGTTTTGGCCCAACAAGTGATAATTGGATCATTGATCCAATAATTAAACTTGATCCAAAATCAAGTTTACTTTTCAACACCCCCTCTTAAACTTGATTTTGCTACTCCAAGCAAACTCCTCATCTTGATAAAATCTTCGCGCTTGAGAGGCTTGGTGAAGATATCAGCTACTTGATCATTCGTCTTCACGTACTCCAATTGAACGTCCCTCTTGGTAACACACTCTCTAATGTAGTGATAACGAGTGTCGATGTGCTTACTTCGATCATGGAAGACTGGGTTCTTCGCCAAAGCTATTGCTGACTTATTATCCACTAAGATCTTCGTTGGCTCCTTTTGTGGCAAACTCAACTCCTTTAACAGGTTCTGTAACCAAACAACATGGCAAACACATGAAGTAGCTGCTACATACTACGCTTCACAAGTAGAAAGGGTGACAATTGGTTGCTTCTTTGACATCCATGTGAAAGATGTATCTCCAATGAAGAACACGAATCCGCTTGTGCTTTTTCGGTCATCTACGTCTCCACCCTAGTCGCTATCGCTAAATCCAACAAGCTTGTAATCGTCAGAAACAGAGTAATACAAGCCAAAGTTTATGGTACCTTTGATATAGCGAAGTATCCTTTTAGCTGCCTTGAAATGAGTTGTTGTTGGATGCTCCATGTATCGGCTCACAACTCCGACTGCATATAGGATGTCAGGTCTTGTGCACGTTAAGTAGCGTAGGCTTCCAACCAAGGTCTTAAATAGTGTTGGATCTACACTCTCTCCTTCTTCTTGCTTTGACAATTTGGCTCCACATTCCATTGGCGTGCTTACTGGATTCGAGTCATCCATCTTGAACTTCTTAAGAACCTCTTTAGCATAGCCTTCTTGAGTAATGAAAATTCCATTATCTTCTTGTCTCACTTCAATTCCAAGGTAGTAAGACATTAATCCAATATCGGTCATCTCGAACTCCTTCGTCATCTCCATCTTGAATTCCTCGAACATACTTGGATTGTTGCCTGTGAATATCAAGTCATCTACATACAAGCATGAAATCAATATATCATTGTTTTGAGTTTTGATATAGAGTACATGCTCATATGGACACTTGATGAAACTTTTCTCATTGAAGTACTTATCAATTTGAGTATTCCAAGCTCTTGGTGCTTGTTTTAACCCATAAAGCGCCTTCTTTAACCTCAAGACTTTGTCTTCTTCTCCCTTGATTATGTAGCCTTGTGGTTGCTCAATGTAAACTTTTTCTTCAAGATCTCAATTTAAGAAGGCTGATTTGACATCCATTTGATGTATCCTCCAATTGTTTTTAGCTGCCAATGAAATGATTAATCTAACAGTTTCTAGACGAGCAACAAGAGCGAATACTTCGTCATAGTCGATTCCCGCTCTTTGACTATAACCTTTTGCCACCAATCTTTCCTTGTATCATTCAACTTCTCCTTTAGAGTTCTTCTTTGCTTTGTACACCCACTTCACACCGATCGCCTTATGCCCATTTGGAAGTGAAGCTAACTCCCATGTCTCATTCTTTTGTATCGCCTTGATCTCTTCATCCATTGCATTTCTCCATGTCTTCTTCTTCATAGCTTCTTCGAAATTCATGGGCTCGCAATCCGTAAATAGACAAAATAAAGTAAGATTGTCTTGATTTTCGGTTACCTCGTAAAGTTCTTGCAGACTTTTGAAACGTGGAGTCCTTTCGCTCGAACTTTCATCTTCTTGAGAACTTGTTGTTGGTGAAGTTGGTGGGGGTAACAGGCTCCTCTCTTGGTTGCTCCAATTCATCTTCTTCAACATGTGGAAAGAAGTTGTAGTCTTCATCATTTGATCTCCAATCCCATTCTCCTTCTTCATCAAAGATGACATTTCGACTGATGATTGTCTTCTTTGTATCAGGATTGTAGAGCTTGTAGCCTTTGGAGTTGGCATCGTAACCAATGAAGATGTACTTCTCACTTTTGTCATCTAGTTTGCTCCGCTTTTCGTCCGGTACATGAGCGTGAGCAAGGCTTCCAAAGGCTCTTAGATGAGAAACACCGGGCTTCCTTCCGTTCCAAGCTTCTTGTGGTGTTTTTCCCGAAACACTTCTTGTTGGAGATCGATTTGATAGATAAACCGCGCATGCAACTGCTTCTGCCCACAACTCTTTTGGTAGTTTCTTACTTTTGAGCATGCTCCTCGCCATTTCAAGGATTATCCGGTTCTACCTTTCCGCAACTCCATTTTGTTAAGGGGACCTCGGCACCGTCAATTGTCTTCGAATACCGTTATCTTCACAATACTTCTCAAATTCCTTGGATGTGAATTCTCCTCCACGGTCGGATCTCATGGCTTTGATCACAATGCCACTTTCCTTCTCGACATAGGCTTTGAACTTTTTGAAGTTTTCAAACACTTCTGATTTTTCCTTCAAAAAGTAAACCCATGTTTTTCTTAAAAAATCATCAATAAAGAGAAGAAAGTAGTTACTTTTACCGAGTGATCTTGGTTTGATCGGGCCACATACATCTGTATGTATGAGTTCCAATGGCTTCCGCGCTCTTGTGTCTGACTCCTTTGGAAAGCTCATTTTGAATTGCTTTCCAAGTAGATACCTTTCACACAATTGATTTGAATGGTTGATGCAAGGCAATCCTCTCACCATCTCCTTTTTAGAAAGTAGCTCTAATCCTCCAAAGTGGAGATGCCCGAATCGAAGATGCCAAAGCCAGGACTCCTCATTGTAGCACATCTTGAGACATTGTGCGATGTCATTTTGAATGTTAAGAACAAACATTCTATTCTTTGACATCAGCACCTTGGTAATGAGATTGTTTTCTTGGTCTCTTATAGAAAGGTTATTATCCTTTAATCGAATATCATAACCTTTCTCTAAGAGTTGTCCAAGGCTCAATATATTGGTCTTCATGCTTGGGATATAGTAAACGTTGGAAATAAATTGATGATCTCCATTCTTCAATCAGATGAGAATATTTCCTTTACCTTTCACCTCCATCTTCGATTCATCTCCCAAAGCCACATTTCCTTTCACTGATTCATCAAGCTCCACGAACATGCTTCTTTTCCCGCACATGTGATTGCTTGCACCGCTATCGAGGTACCACTTGTGAACCTCATCTTGTTCATCTTTCTTATAAGCCATCAATAGCATATCATCTTCTTGGCTTCTTTCGTCAACATAATTGGACTTCTCTTCAACTCTATTATTGTTCGGAGCTTTGCATTCGGAAGCATAGTGTCCAAACTTTCCACAATTATAGCATTTAACACTTGACTTATCGTACCTTGGTTTTTGATTTCCTCTCCCACAACCTCTTGATGAGCTTTCTCCTCTTTGGTTGGTGTTGTCATCATGAGGCCTCCAACCTCGTCCATTTCCATATCCACGACCTCGTTCTCGGACTTGACCGCCACCTCGTCTTTGATAACTTCGTCCGCTTTCTTCTTTAGTTTGATTAATCCGCATCTTGAGTACTTGTTCTGCAATATCTTCCTTCTTCTTCTTTTCTTCATAAGCTTGTAACGACCCAAGAAGTTGCTCCATCGTCATAGCCTCCAAATCCTTTGTTTCTTCAATGACAGTGACAATATGCTCGAATTTTGGATCCAACGATCTAAGAACCTTCTCCATGATTCTCACCTCATCTAACTTCTCGCCATTTCTCTTTAGGTTATTAGTAACCGTTAAAACTCTTGAGAAGTAATCGGAGACGAGTTCACCTTCCTTCATTTGCAACGCAAATTCTCCTCTTAGAGTTTGAAGATGTACCTTCTTGACTTGATCTGCTCCCTTGTAAGAAGTTCGAAGCTTCTCCCATGCTTCTTTGGTCGTCTTTGCTCCCGCGACCTTCTCGAATGTATCTTCATCTAGACATTGATAGATTAGACAGAGAGCCTTCTTGTCTCTCTTCCTTGAGTCTCTCAAACTATCCTTTTGAGTTTGAGATAGACTACCATCATTCTCCGGTTCAATGAAGCTTTTCTCGACTATCTCCCACACGTCATGTGCTCCTAGGATAGCCATCATTCTTAGACTCCAATTGTCATAGTTGCTCTTTGTGAGCATCGGGACTTGAAAGGGAACACCGTTACTCGCCATCTTCAAGGGAATCTTCTAGCTCTGATACCACTTTGTTGGGAAAAAATATTTGGAGGTGATGGAGAAAGTGTTTAAGAATTCGGGAGACAATAAAAAATTTAGGAAGAAGAAGATTTTTTATTTCTTTTGAACACCTTAGAACAACTTGGAACTTCTTGATTACAAATGAGAGGGAATGGGAGGTATTTATAGCCTCTAAAGTACAAAATATCTAGAATATTTTAATCCTAAATCTAGAGAGTTCTAGCATAATATCTAGAATTTTATAATATTTTAATCCTAAATCTAGAGAGTTCTAGCATAATATCTAGAATTTTATATTACAATTATCTAGAGAAATATCTAGATATGCATAATATCTAGAATTTTATATTACAATTATCTAGAGAAATATCTAGATATTCATTCTCTATAATTTTGTAGAATATTTTAAGGAGGTGGAGATGTTTAGATATTTCTAGAGAAAACTCTAGAACTTGGATCAAGTATTGAATTTTGGCCCAACAAGTGATAATTGGATCATTGATCCAATAATTAAACTTGATTCAAAATCAAGTTTACTTTTCAACAGATTCCCCCTTTTTTTTAGCTGAAACGGGTATGCCACAGTGGGAACCATTAATGCGGTAAAACCTTCGCTAAGGGCTTGTTTGGATTGAGGGGAATAAGAGTGAAGGGATGTTAGGGGAACCATTCATCTTGTTTGGGAATATTTAGGAGGTGAAGTTATTCACCCTAGTTCCCCTTGGTTCACCCCCTAACAGTAAAAAATTTGTTACACCCCAAATTGGGGTGTAACCAAGGGGAAGGGAACTCTCATCCCTTCCCTTCCATTCTCACACCTAGTTTCCCTTAACTTTCCTTAACCCCATTGAAATCCAAACACACCCTAAGATAAGTGGTGTTAGTCAATTGTGACATTTTCAAGTAAAATGGGATAATTGTTAAAGTAAAATAATTTTTTGTTAGTGGGATATTTTAGTGAGATAAATAGGAACAATTTTGTGAAACGAGAGATAAAATAACGTGGGATAAATTTTTATAACTATGAAATATATATTTATGCATTTTGAAGATATAAATACTATTTATGTATTTTAAACTTACTATTATTATTTAATAATTGCTTACAAGAATGGTCTTTACTATTAAATAACTTTTGGTTAGACTATAAGATATTGACAATTATTATTATAATGATGGTCTAATGATGGTGATAACCATAATAGGAAAGAAGTAAAGGAAAAAAAAGAAATATAAAAAATAAAATTAACAAAATAAATATGAGTTCTAGTTTTTTACCACCTAGTTTCAATCTAAAAGTTGGAATAATTTGAGAGACTAGAACTATCATGTTTGTATAGAAAAATAAAAAAAGTGGGATAATTTTGTATATATCATTATCCTAATTCTAGTTTTGATAGAGTTTTACTTGAATAACACTGTAAAATTTTGTTCTAGTTTTAGTTATGTGTGACTAACACCTTAAAAATTTATCCCACAGATTATCTCAGTTCCAATTTTAAGTTCTAGGTGACTCACCCCTCCTAAATGTTTGATCCACCTAATGGAGCTGGGGGCCTCTTTTTACTAGTAGATTAAAACTATTGATCTAAAAACCAAAGAAGAAAGTCTATCATCAGCTTATGTATTACAATCAAACAATGACTACATTAAATTGATCCTCGTACCCGTCACATTCTCATAACACACAAGTTTATTCATTTGATCTTATTTTCACATAACAGAGCAAGCATCAGAATTCTCATCGTTGAACATCCACGTGTATTTCTCAGTTAGGGCGTCAGGGCTGGGCATCGCCTGAGGTGCCTTTCGCACGAACCCAGAGGGAGCTTTCTTGTCATAAACACCAGCAACATAAGGATATGCCACTAAATTATGAGGAACATAAGGCCACATCTCTGCATACTTTCCGGTACTTTTTATCTTGTTCAGTACAGAGCTTGGTTCAATGTGGCCTGTTACAGTCACTCGACTTTGATTTCGATTTATATTCACCGATATCACGTCTGAAATAAAAAAAATCTTCATCAGAGATGATAACTGCTAATAAACTTTAGGATTTCATCTAAAAGTTTTGCAGTTTACCCTATTTAGAAGCTATAGTCTCCACCGATAGTTTTGATATCTGTACATTTGTTTACTTGAGCATAATAGCAGTTCTGAAGGCAAAGAGTTTGTATATTGTTTGGATTAACGGTTTTTTAGTTATTTTTAACTTAAAACCTTTATCTAATTTATTGAACAATATCATAAATTTTCATGGTTGATCTTATCAACTATAAGAGTAATTAAAAGAAAGACTATCGAAAGTCACATCATGCCAAAGATGTTCAAAAATCACTTCATACCTCGATAACAAATAGAAATATGTTCCCTATTATGCGGGGAAGTCAAGCCACAGTCGCAAATGAGTTCATTCGCGTTGTGGCTAGGTGGCATGTCCCAAAGGTGACATGTGTCCCTGCTACAACGCGAGTGAACCCCACTCGCAGCTGTGGCTAATATTGGCCTTATTATGCAGTGAATATCTTGATATATTTAGAAACTATGTTGCTTATCATACTTATGTTGTTTTAAGTTTCTATACATGTTATATTGGATGTGGATCTTTGCCCTACAAAAAAATTAGTGGAGATTTATGTAAGGAGTTTTTAGAGATTAGTCCTTTATGTCCCGTTTAGCAAGGGGGTAAGAGAAGGGTTAAGGGGGTTTAACCCCTTCTTAACCATCCAAACTGGTCAAATGATCAAAGGGTTAACAAACTCTTTACAATGGTTAAAGTTAGTTAACCCTCACTTAGATAAGTTAGAAAATTTGCCTAAAGAGGAAGATTAATGGTTATCTCTTTCGAAATAAGAAACAAAACTTTAAAAAAAGAATATATTTTAGGATATTTATGACAACTAGCCTCCTTAACCCTTCTTTATTTATCAAATACATAAAACTTAACCCTTAATCTTGACTAGCTATCAAATCTAAATGAAATTAAATTATTTTTACGTAAAGAATTAGATAAGTTACTCCTTCCCCTTAACCCCTTGCTAAACGACACCTTAAATCATAGGTATTTTGATATTAGGCCCTAAATCAAGTCTTATAAAATATGTTAAAATTAGTCTCCCTAGTTAGGGGCTATTTGCTTTTGGATGGAATATTCATTTAACTTTTAGACTTTTTTTTGAAGAGTTGACTTTTGGTTGTGAAGAATTTTTAGATTTTTTAGAAAAGTACCATTCTTTTAAAGGCTAGGTTTTGTACATGTGCAATGTACATGGTTAAAGACCATGATTAGGTATTTTTTGCTTATTCTCAAACTAAAATTTATTCCTCAGTTCCACTTTAATAGTTAGTACTTACTTTTATCTCTAAACTTTAATATTACGATTATTTATTTTCTTTGATGTTTGTTTAAATGGGTTGCGCCTAATTTAAATTTTTATATTGATATTTGAATTGACAGAAAACAAATATAATTTATAACTAATTTGAATTTTCATATTATTTTGATTAACATGAAACCAAGCTTTATTTGTGAAAGTACAGTTTTAAAAAAGTAAAAAAAAAATATTGAAATAGTGTTATACAAAGAAGGTAAATATTTAAAACCAATAAAGCAAAATGATTGGTTAAAAGTATTCTAAAATTATGTAAAAGAGAATATGAAGTTTGTTCCTAATTATTGATACACTTCATAAAAAATTATAAACTAAAGATTAATGCTAACTCTAGTATACTTTTATATGATAAAAACATCCACATAAGTAAATAAAAGTACTAAAATAAAATTCATGAAACTCCCTTCTAGAGATTCCTAATTCCACTAAAAATAATTAAATTATCCTATAGAATGTTTGCGGTGAAAGTTGTTGTTTTCATTGCTATCGAATCTATTACAACTTTAGTCGTTACAATAAACTCGAATAAAATAAAATAAAAAGTTGATCTTTTTATAAGATCTCCTTACACAATGAAAATAAAAAGTTTACAACTTTATCAAACAAACGCAGAGATCGTTTATCGGTCTTCTGCTTGCGTGGGATCTTTGCCTGTGCCGGGGTTTATCCGTGAACAACCGTCGATCAGATCTGATTGCTGAAAAATTAGGCAGAGCTTCGTTGATTCGCGAAGGAATCAAGAAACCGTAGCACTTATCTCGGCAACGGCGAGATAATTGCTCTTCTTAAGATTATCGCAACGGGATAATCTTAAGGAACGAAATCGGGGAACTGCAGATCTGAAGAATCTCTCTCTCTTGCGTTGAAGAACTCGATCCGATCTCTCCTCCTCCTCTCTGAAATTCGTGCACCTTCAGTCTTCAATCCGGCAGGGCTTCGCCTAATCTCCAAAATTCCAGATCTAGAAAAATGAAGGCATGAGGCTTGTATTTATAGGCTTGAGGGAGTTTGGGTGGTTGAAACAGCACAACGGCCCAATTTTAGGCCTGGAGACACCCTTGGGCGTCTCAGCGAGGCCGAGACACCTTTGGGTGTCTCAGCCTTGGCCGAGACACCTTGGGGTGTCTCGTTTGGGCCGATACACCTCGGAGTGTCTCAACTCAGGCTGAGACGCCGCTTTTTGTATATTCGTCTGTTTCCACCTTAACTTCTTCATCCGAACTCGGATTTGAATGATTCGAAGTGTATTGGAAAGCCGGCGAGGAGTTCTATAAGCTCCAATAATTAGATCATCTGTGGAATAAATGAGATACGAAGGGTATTTCGCCGTTTGTGAATGACACGAGGTTCCCGATCAGTTCGTGTCTTTGTTATTCTGAAATTCCGTTACTTCACGTAGTTCGTTGATTCACTTCAAGCGTTCACCGACATCAATCAAGCTTCTGTGAATTGGATAGTGACGTTCATTGTCTTTTCTTAGCGTCGAGCCGTTTGTGGAGACCTATAGGCAATTTTCGATGCCTACAGATACCCTGTCCAAAGCGTTTCAGACTCGTTTCTTTTATAGAAGAGGCTGGAATACTTTGGATGTGATTGGTCTAGCCTTCGATCGGTGTAAAGGACCTGTAGTTAGCTTCGACTCTTGACTCCTTCGATTTTCAGTCTATTCGATGCTTTGACGAATAGCCGAAGTCCTTCCGGCGTTGCATTTATCGCCTGGCCGTTGTCGGAGTCTCGAGTCTACAACCGGTGAGTTGGGTTTGGCTCGTGTCACTGAATTGATTTAGAACTGACTATTTCCGTCACATCGGCTTTTTCATTGCAACGCCTTGATTGGTGTTGACCTAGGGTTACGTGTTGACCGGCGTTGACCTTAGGGTTTTGAACGTTGTCCGTTAACTTTTTGTCACAATGCGTTGACTGGCGTTGACCTAGAGTTACGCGTTGACCGGCGTTGACCTTAGGGTTTTGAACGTCGTCCGTTGACTTTTGTCGCAACGCGTTGATTGGCGTTGACCTAGGGTTACACGTTGACCGGCGTTGACCTAGGGTTTCGGATCGTAACGCATTGATTGGCGTTGACCTAGGGTTACGCGTTGACCGGCGTTGACCTAGGGTTTCGGATCGCAACGCGTTGATTGGCGTTGACCTAGGGTTACGCGTTGACCGGCGTTGACCTTAGGGTTTTGGATTGCAACGCGTTGACTGGCGTTGACCTAGGGTTACGCGTTGACCGGCGTTGACCTTAGGGTTTTGGATCGATCACCGTTAACACAGTTTATACTCGTACGTCTGCTGGAGTATACACAGTTTAAGCTCTTAAGATATTGGAGCATGGCGGTCCTAAATGTCGGAATTGCAGGACCAACTATGAAAGTTGATTCATCTGCATGTATGGATCTTATCCTGAAGTTGTTGAATGCTCGAGTCACGAGACCAGTTAATAAAGCTGGTGCGTCAATGGCTTTTGCATTTATAGAATTTTTGGTAAATCCTCAGCCATCAATAGGTTTGACGAGCATTTACCGACTACCGTTTGAGTCGGGCTAGCATGCAGATTGTTTAAGTCCGTTCCGCATGTGACATTAAGCTAAAAGAGTTAACCCTTTTAGTGCTACGATGTTGAATACTTAGACTTCGTCTTTCTCCCGTGAAAAGACTAAACAGCGACGTGTGTTAGATGTTGACTTAGGATTTTTGGCAAATCCTCAGCCCTCAACGGATTTGATGTGCTCTTACCGATTTCCGTTTGAATCGGGCTTACATGCGGATTGTTTAAAATCCGTTCCGCATGTGACGTTGTGCTAAAGGAATGAACTCCCTTACACTTGATGCTACGACTTCGAATACGTAGCCTTCGCCATTGTTACGGGAATAGGCTACCCGGCAATGTGTGTTAGACGCTGACTTATCCCTACTTAGGCTTCAGGATAAAAGTTCCTAGACTAGAATTCTGGCGTCTTCTTCAATCAGAGAAAGACTAAACCGGCAACGCGTGTTAGACATTGACTTATCCCTACTTAGGATTCAGGATAAAATTCCCCGTGCGTGTGAAGCACGGATTTTGGTGTTATGAATAACAACCTTCCACAATGTCGAATATGTGGGTTTTTGTCCCTTTTTTACGGTTAAGGACTAACCGGCAACGCGTGTTAGGTGCTGACTTATCCCTTCTTAGGCTTCGGGATAAAATTCCCCAGACTACAATTCTGGTGTCTTTTTCAATCGGTGAAAGACTAAACCGGCAACGCGTGTTAGGCGTTGACTTATCCCTACTTAGGATTCAGGATAAAATTCCCCGTGCGTGTGAAGCACGGATTTTGGTGTTATGAATAACAACCTGCCACAATGTCGAATATGTGGGCTTTTGTCCCTTTTTTATGGTTAAGGACTAACCGACAACACGTGTTAGGTGCTGACTTATCCCTTCTTAGGCTTCGGGATAAAATTCACCAGACTGAAATTCTGGTGTCTTTTTCAATCGGTGAAAGACTAAACCGGCAACGCGTGTTAGGCGTTGACTTATCCCTACTTAGGATTCAGGATAAAATTCCTCGTACGTGTGAAGTACGAATTTTGGTGTTATGAATAAAAACCTACCACAATGTCGA